TGTGGAGAGAAGACCAAATAGTTTAAGATAAGGTGTCATTTTCATATCTAGAAAACAATTCTAGTCTTACTTTAGTAGCATGTTAGAAAATAATTCAAAACTCTCTTATTTTAAATTTACCTGCATAAAGCCAGGAAACCTGAATGCACTTTGGCAATATTTGCATGCTTCTGGTTGCTTCTTTTCCAGCTCGTGATTTGCTGTGGAGGCAATCCAGATGTTTTCTGCATGCCTATAACTTTCTGCGTCTGTTCAAGGCTTTTAACCTTGCGCAATCCTTTCTTGTGCTATGGATCAAACACCAGAGGGTTTTTTTTTTTTCTTTAAGATAAGACTAGTCTTTCCTTGAGAACAAAAACACGTTATCTTGCATTCGTAAGTCATGGATTTCAACCGCTTTTACTTCAGTGGTCTCTAATTACCCCTGTGAAGTGTGTCTTTCAGATTAGCTGATTTCTCCGTCAAAGGAGATGGAGAATATAGACGTATGAATCACATACAGCTAAGGGAATATACAACTCACGAATTTACCTAAATAATCCCCTACAGTATAAAGACAATGATTAACATGACCAACAGCCATATTCACTATATAAAAAGAGGTGTAAACACTGAAAATATTTCGGGTGAACATTTCAATATTACATTTCATTTAAAAGTTATCTAGATATTCAAGAATATCCATTAAATAACTTAATTTAAGAAATAGTTTTGGCCCGGTGGGATAGCCTAGTCTTGCATGTTCTGGGATCCCACATGGGTGCTGGTTTGTATCCAGGCTGCTTCACTCCCCATCCAGCTCCCTGTTTGTGGCCTGGAAAAGCAGTATAGGATGGCCCAAAGCTGTGGGACCCTGCATGGGAGACTTGGAGGAAGTTTTTGGCTCCTGGCTTCAGATTAGCTCAGCTCCAGCCATTGTAGCCACTTGGGGAGCGAACCAGCAGACAGAAGGTCTTTGTCATTTCTACTCTTTGTTAAAATCTGACTTTCTAACAAAAATAAAATAAATCTGTAAAAAAAAAATAGTATCAAGGTTTTAGAGTTAAATAAGGAGAGTGGTTAGCACTGACAAACTACAACTTAAGAAATCATTTGCTGGGCTATAGCGTTGTTATTTAAGAATTTTGACCATTTGTAGTCACATAGCTTGTTACTTGAGACTGAAAACACAGATATCCCATGTCAGTTTGCCTTATTTGTTCTGAGAAATTTTTGCCTAGGATTACAAAGCTATAAACCAATAAACAACATCACCGTTTGCCCCAGGAAATTTCTGAAAGGTGATTTATTGATATAGTTTGTTTTTCTGGCCAGTCATCCTGCCAGGATAACAGAATATTCACACAGCCGCGTAGAGAGCTGATTTAAAAAATCCTTGTCAGGATTTCGTATCAAGCCACCGGCATTCTTCTGTCTCCACCCTAAACTGCTACTCAAATGCTGTCCTCCAGCTCTATGCATGTCTTGTCTTTGCAAAATTAACTTAACCCCTGCAGCCTCAATCCCCAAGCCTTGTAAATATCCTGCCAGTTTTAAAATATTTTTATTTATTCATCTTTATTTATTTGAAACATAAAACGACAAAGGGAGAGCCAAAGAGAAAGCAAAGGGACAAAAGGGGGTAGAGAGGAAAAGGGAGCCTTTCATGTACTGGTTCGCTTGCCAAGTGCTAGAAAGAGCAGTGGCCAGGCCAGGCCAGAGCCGGGAGCGCCATGTGAGGCTCGCAGTGAATAGCCAGCAGGAACCCAAGCACGGAAGCCACCAGCTGCCATTTGCCAGGCACATCAGCATGAAGCTGCCTTGGAGGAGGAGGCAGGATTTGATCCTAGGCACTGTGATAGAATAGGACAGCTCAAGTGGCAGTTTACCTCACTGCACACCACCATGTTTACCCCAATATCCTCTTCTGACCTTCCATTTTGAGATATTTCTAGACTTTCTTGAGGTGGTCTTCCCTATTACAGTAGACCCAATTGACTGATCAGCAGGAACTATGAGTTAATAAATGCTTGTTGCTACAAGCTGAGAAAGTGTTTTTGGTAATGCTTTTTCCATACAACAATAGAAAACCATTTGCACTGCATTTAAAAAATGAGAAAAAAAAAATCACAAAGCTGCGGTCAGATAAAAAATGATCAAACAACCCTAATCTGTAAAGATTCACTTTTCAAATGTGATTTTGTGTTTTCTCATAAACCTGCTGCTGATTGTGAAGGTTCCGGAAGAATTTTAATTTAAGTCTTTGATTCTCAGTTTTTCTATTTCCTGAGAACTTTGGGAATATCTAACTTATTTAAGTGCCTGTTTCTTTCTACGAACTGAACCATAATTTAATTACATAAATATAATTAGAGAAATATCAGAACTCAGACAAAAAGAAGTGAAGGATTTTCTCAATCATAGATACCCAGACATTCTGAGAACTTGAGATTTTAATCTACAACCACAAAATCAAGAAGAAATACAGAATCATCAAAATCACCAGCTCGCAAAGGGATGCTTACTTTCAGCAAACGTGAAATAATTTTTAAATTGGATTGATCTCATAAATTGTCAAAGAAACAAAAAAGGCTAGCAAACCGGAATCTTAAAGAATAGCTTTTCAGCTACCAGAAACAGATCTGATCACACCCTGAGGTTGACCATTAAATGCTTCTAGTCTGAAACCAGATTCCTCAGGCTCCCGTGACATGCTTTCTCGATGATGAAACCAGGATTGCCCCAGTGTCATTATGTACCCATTTGTGCCTAAGTCTCATGGAGTTTGAGAAAATATGAACATTTGAAAAGTCTCGGTTAAAAGCCAGCAAAAAAGCATAGAACTCCAAATGCTGTCTGTACTCAGAGAAAAATGATTTAAGCTCTTTTGTTATCAAAGCATTTATATGGGAAGTAGGGCAAAGAGACCATATTACTGATGACCTCGAATGTTAGGTGATACTATGTCATTGTTGAATAAAATGGCATCCTTTTTAAAAAAGGCAAAATCATGATTTCCATGAATATAAAAATGAACATTATTAAAGGTAGTATTTAGCTCGAGAAAAATAAAGTATAGAGTGCAACAAGTGCTTGGGAGAATAAAAAAAAAAAAAATCTTAGGATGTGTATCAGGCCGGATTGGGGGTGGGAGGGAGTGGCTAGAAAAGGAGAAATGTCCATTGACCCTGCATCAGACCAAATGTTCTTCTTATAGACAATGACCCTTGTGTGTTGAGGACAGTTTAATCAACTTACAGAGTTGTAAAACAGCTCAACGGCAATGCAGCCCAAGAATCAGACACCCAGGTGGGTGTGGTTTCAATAACACTTTTTTTTTTAAACACGGAAGTGAAACTCTTTGCTTGTATTGGGCTTGAGTGTTTTTGCTGACCTGAAAGTAGTGGGCCAGGTTTGCGAACTACTTAAGAAGTAATAATTATAGTTTCTTAGGAGTAGCAGCTCTCTAGCAAGTAGGATCCCACAATCATTCATTTCCAGTATGGCAATTGCCGTGATTTTTACTCCATTGAGCTGGGGTAAGATTTAATGGTATTGGGGATGATAAAGGGAGGAGGGAAGGAAAATTTTAAATAAGTGATTATTTTAGAGGTTCTAGTTCTGTGACCTTGGACATAGGGTCTCTGGCGGATGGGTTGTCATACCTCCTTCATTATTGGCCCTTGCGTCTTACTGCAATTTCAGTCATGAAAGCTAATTCAAAGCAGTGCATTTTCTCTCTCTAGAAGCTCCTGGCTAAATGCTTTGCCTTTTCCTTTTAGAACTGGCTGATATTATTGCCCTTGTTTTGCTGCATTTGATCAGAAATCATTCCTGGGCCCACAGAACAATTTTAGAAGGGAATTTAGGAAATTCTTGAAGTCAACCAAGGGAAATGTTGCTAATATCTACCTTTTCCCTAAAAAGCTAGGAGTTATAAAACAAAGTAGGAGGGCTTGGCATGGAAGTCTAGTGACTAAAGTCCTCTCCTTGAGCATGCTGGGATCCCATATGGATGCCAGTTCTAATCTCAGAGGCCCTGTTTCGCATTTGGTTCTCTGCTTGTGGCCTGGGAAAAGCAGTCAAGGATGGCCCAAAGCCTTGGGACCCTGCACCTGCATGGGAGATCCGGAAGAGGCTCTGGACTCCTGGCTTCAGATTGGCTCAGCTCTGGTCGTTGTGAAGCTTGGGGAGTGAATCATCAGATAGAAGATCTTCATCTCTGTTTTTCATCCTCTCTGTATATCTGACTTTCCAACAAAAATACATAAATCTTTTTAAAAAAATAAAGTAGGAGGAAAAATTGAGGAAATAGCATTCTGTCAAATGTGTTTAAGGGGAGAGTTATGTGACCAGGAATCCTTTTCTATTAAAGACATTAGCAATACCAGATTTTTTTTTATAGCTATAGTATTGTTTCCTAAGCTTGAGGTAGTTGTAAACTCAGTCAAAAGTCTATTCAAACTAGTGAATTAATTGCTGTGTGATTTTTCCCCCAATATTTCAAAATTCCAGTTTTAATAAACATAATTTTTCTTGTTTACTTCACATATGAATATGGGGTAATGCATTTTTTTGTTCTGTGTTTAAAAAAGAAAATGAGGGAGGGAAGAGAGAAAGAAAAGAGAAGATCAAGGGACATTGATAAGGGAGGAAGATAAAGGAGAGAAAAGAAAGTGATAAGAGAAAAGGAGGAGGAGGAAGAAATGAAAATTGAATGTAATTGAAACAAAGAGAAGAAAAGAAAGGACAAAAAAAAAGAAAAAAAACACCGTTCTGATACTAGTTTTGGATTTAATCACAAGCTTTTTATAAATCCTGTAGACATGACTTCCTCTGTTCTTTTTTACTGAGTGCTGAGTGGTAATGAAACTCTCAACCTACAATCTTCCTTTAACTCCATTATTCTGTATATATAAAGAAGTGAAAATAAACATTTCCTGAAGTTTTGGTTTGTTGGTTCAGTGGGAAGCCCAGCTCCCCTTTCTTTATCATCGTTGTTAAAGGGTTCAGAGGGAAGATGGGCAGAGTGAGCTGTGCAGTGTGAGAGTGTGCCCTTTCTCTGCCTTGTGGAATTGGGCAGACATTCCCCAAAAGTCAGCTTTTGTTAAACACCCCATAGCTAAATGAGATGCAAGAGACTCCGCTGTGTAAAGGCTGGGCTTATCTGCAAGAAGGGAGAGTATAGCTTGTTTTCTATCACATCATCCGCCTGTGCACCTATTTCTGGATCTGCCATACATGATTTCAACAAAGAGAAGAGAGTTAGAAACGAAGGACTGAGCGGAGAGGATCAGCAACCCGTCCTTACACTTCTGCAAGCAAGAATGTGAGTGAGGGTTCTCCGGACCAGACAGACGCTGTAAACTCTGTACACACTTGGGCTGACTTCCTGGCGCCTCACCTGGTGAGTCAATGGAATCGGGTACACCACAAGGGATGCTCTCCTCGAGGGTTAGAGAAGCAGACAAGAGCAGCGCTGTTGGTTTAGGGGGTCCGTTGAGTCCTTGTAAGAGCATGCGTATTCTTCAATTTTGTTTCCTTTTTCCAGAAGTCCTAACATTGGAAAGAATAGGGAAGAGCTGAGAGGGAGTACCCTGGGGGGAAATATCCTGAGAAAGAGAGTAAGAGTGAGGTTTAAAAATAAACTAGACTGGATATTTATGACCTGAAAGTGACCCAACAGCTTTGGGAACTATCTCAGTTATTGTTAAGAGGCAAGAAAAACAAACAAACAAACAAACGAAACACTGCTCAAGGCGTGATTGGAGAAAACCAGGTCATTCCGTGTTTGCTTCTCAGAGAGATCCAACTATAAATGAATTGATTAGAAATGTAAAGGATCATCTTACATAATCCTGGTCTCAGGAGTAGGAATTACTGACATCTCACATTTTTTTCTTTATGACTTCCTTGTTATTCCTGTATCTAGGCAGTTAGGAAGAATTCATTTATGCTCTTTTCTCATTTTTATTGCATTCAGTGATTCATACCCAAGGATTCCATCCTGGTTCAGTACTCATATGCTCATGTTTACGTATTTGTAATTGACTTCTAGGAGATCTGAATGATATATCTGCTTGCTAAAAGATTGAAAAAATAGGCCAAAGCATTTTTTTAAATAAAATACTTCATATTAACCATGTCAAATCAATTAGTTAACATTCAGAAAATGTATAGAATGCAGTGGAAGCATGGGAGCATGAAGTCCTCCTCTTTGATATTTACTGATTTAAAACCAGGAACACGAAGCCTTTCCTCTCAGGCTTAGCTTAAAACTGCAGAGCTGGAAGTGTCTGCCAGGAGCCGTGTGTGTCGCGGCTCATCAGATCACAGTTCTATAGCCACACTAAAGGATGCACACGCTGCCAGAGACGTGTGCTCAGCTCTCTTGCAGCGGTCTCGCCGGCTTACCCTCTAACATGAATTACAGAGTGCTCAGCACAGTCCTCAGGCTTCCACCTGCCGCATTCATGCACGTGGTCACCCTGAATCCAACATGACTCCTTTCTGTTCATCTTGGAACATTAAGTACTGCAACTGTCTTGTGGAAGAAACTGAGAGAAAAGCAAAAACTTGGTTCTGTATGCAGATAACTATCCAGCTCATGATAAATGAAGGCTTGTGAATAGAATATCAGATATGGCAGTCACCATTATAGCAGTATATTTCCTCGGGTTCTTATGGGAAGTGACTGTCTTTGGCACATTCTTGGGAATTATTTCCTGCGTTCCATTAGCTCTATGGGATGACATGCTAAAATGACAGACGCAGTCCTTCTGTTTTGTTAGAGTATGCTTAGAGTTCCTTGTTTGAATGTATATTGTTTTAAAAATCTTATCTGAGAATATGATTCATAGTTTAGTCTTAATGTTTTTGAAGAAAAATCACTTAGTGAGCAAGAAGAAAGCACATTCTGGTAGAAAGAGCACTAAGCAGTGGAACAGGTAGTCCTTGTTCTGGACCTGACCCGCTGCGAGCCATGTGCCCTGTGGCAAATTACTTTGGCTGTGGAGTCTATCTATAACTGACGTTAAAACCATTTTGAGTTTACATTTTATGTTAGTCTAAGATTTGTCAATAGTCATTAAACATTTTCTATGTAATTTAAAATCCTATTGATGAGCTGACATTTAAGTATGAAAAAAATAATGGTGATGGGCTGGTGCCTTGAGGTAGTAGGTTAAGCCTGTGGCACCAGCATCCCATATGGGCACCAGTTAGTGTCCTAGCTGAACGCTCCAATCTAATTCCCTGTTTATGATCTGGGAAAGCAGTAAAGATCGATTCAAGTCCTTGGGCCCCTGCACCCATGTGGGAGACCTGGAAGAAGTTTCTGGCTCCTGACTTTGGATCAGTGCAGCTCCAGGCTTTGTGGCCACTGGGGAATGAATTGGTGGATGGAAGACCTTAATCTCTGTGTCTCTCCTCTCTGTAACCCTGCCTTTCAAAAATAAAAATAAAATAAATCTTTAAAAAATTAGTGGAGGAGGGGATATATGTAACTAGACTCATGTGTCTGGTACATGAGTGAGGAATATAATTGCAGGCAGCAGAAGCACATTGACTAACTTGGGCACAAGTATGTGGGGTGTCTTGAATTTATCAAGTGGTCTCACTTAGAGGGAGACAAGGTCGGGGCCAGGCTTGAGGACTGGGGACCCCAGGAAGCTCTGAGCAGCAATGATTCAGGAGCATGGGCGCTCCAGCATGGCTGGCTTAATCTGCTCAGGTGTTAGGTCACTGATGAGTGTCAGATAGTCATTTCGCTTTTTCATTGCTTGCGTGGATACCCCACTGTAGGTCACGAGTGTTCCCCAGGCCAAGGTTAGGTCATAAACATCCTCTGGCAGTTCTTTGAGATGGAAGCCTAGCAAGGTAGGCACCTTCGATCACTCTCCGGTACAACAGGCAAGACTGAACAGAAGTTAGAGTGCAGTTGGTGGAAGATGAGAGAAGAAAGTGCAGCAACCAATCACTGGGAGATTTAGCAAAAGAGGCTGAAGAGATGGAGGTCGGGATGAAGTCACTGAAGTCAGTGAAGGGAGAATTAGAAACCACAGAATAGGAGGGAGGGAGGGAGATACGGAAGGGAGAGAGGGAGGAAGGGAAGGAGGAAGGAAGAAGAAAGGATTTCTAATTTCAGCCTATAGAACTTTCAGCGTTATTGCAAAGCAGCCACATTCCAACTCTCAGTTCCCAGCAGGGCTCTGTGGTCACCCCCAGAAGAGTGAACAGCACAAGTCTTGGTGCAGTACCTTCTCCATTATCTTCTCGTTCCTTTCCCAAGAGCAAGAGGTAATCACATGCCCCAGGACACTGAAGAATTTGTGGCTCCTGAGTCTCACTGTAGTTTCAAAAGACATTAACTTCCACCACATGATAGAAGCAATAAGCACAATGGCATGTGTTTACAAAGGGCGGATGTGAGAGGTAGAAAAGTATATGCTTCCGTGCTGGAGATCGTGTATATTAATTTTACAGAAAGTCTTTTTTTTTTACACAAATAATAAGATATTTTAATGATTTGAATGGGTGGCTTTTGGTGTGTAGTTTCTTATGGCTTCTAACAAAGAAAAAAATCTTTGCAGAGGAGGCTGTGATGGTGCACTGGGGCCTGGAGCACTCCTGGTGTCCAAGCGACTGATGGGAAAGCAAAATGAATATCTGACACTCATAGGTGACCTAACGCTGCAAGTCCTGGCTATTAATGATCTATAGAACCAAACAGAACCTCTGTGGTTAAAGTATTTGAGTTCCATACTACTTTTACCACTGTGTAGTTAGAATTGAGGCTTACAGATCTTACTTCAATTTTTCCAGAAATAAAGGTTTCTGTGGTGGTAACATAATAAGAAAAAAATTCCCCACCTGTCTCTGTCGCAACATAATTCCAAAAAACACCCAACTGACTTCAAATGTCACATTCCCATGGATATACACTTGAGGATTTCTCTGTGCTGAATGTGCAGAGAAGGAACTGCATAAATATCAGTTGATTTAATTCAAAGTAGATCTGGAAGGCAGCAGGGAAGTGTTTCTTCATGTTGGCCTCCACAAATACTACTATTTGTGGTAGTCCAAAGAAGAGTTCTCACATTTCCTCAGAAACAGTAAGGAGAGCAATCAGTTCTCTGGATAGCACCAGTAAACCCAAAAAAATTACAGTCTTCTATCTTAACGACAAATTTGTATATCTGCTTTCAGATTTCTTAACTGCAAAGGAATAAAAAGAGCATTTCTATATTCAAATCGACAAAAGTCAGCAGGTTATGGTGAATTGGAAAAAGTTCATGATGTCTAGAAAATCTTGTAAATGTGCTCTTTGGGGCGAGTGTTTGATATGGTGGTTAGTTCACTGGCTGGTATGTCTGTGTCCCATTTGGAGTGCCGGTTCAAGTCCCAGCACAGGTGCTTCTGACCAAGTGACCTGCTAATGCCTGAGAGGCGGCGGGGCGTGGGGTGTGACTGAAGCACTGCGCCTCTGCCACCCACGTGGAAGCCTGAATCAAGGCTGGGGCCCCTGTCTTCGGCGTGTTCCAGCTCTGGCTGGTTTGGACATTTGAGGAGTAAACTGATAAACGGGTAGTTCCTGTGTCTCTGCCTTTCAAATAAATAAATAAATAAATAAATAACAAAAACCAATTTCAAAAACCTAATCTCTCTTGCTTAGTAGCTTTGTGTGCTTGGTGACAAGGGGACAAAGATGGTTATTAATTTTGCCATCTTTAACTTAAATCTTTAACTGAAAATGACAACTGACGCAAGGTGGACTGAGAAAACACCATAAATGCATTTCTTTCCAATTAGATGTGAAGAGGGTGTATTGTTTGTGATTCATTTCTGTCCAGAAAGGCTGATGAGGATGGTGGCAATTAGTGAGCTGCTACAGTTAACAGCACCTCATGGAAGCACGAGAAGTGGGAAGACAGCCACCTAGCAGTGGGATATGACCAGGGACAGGCCAGCAGCTGCCTCTCAGAACACCTCCCACAACTCCACAGGAGAGCTTTGCTTTGGTGAATTTATCACAGCAAATGATTTGGCCCTGAGCTTGCCTGGGCATGAAATCTGGAAGTTTTTGCCAACTCACAAGAATGGTTGCATTTCTCGGTGGCAGAGCTGAGCTCACAAGGTTGAGCTAAGACTGAGTGGCAGTTTATTAATTTTAGTGAGGAGTAGTATTGTCTTACTAACCAGAGAGCTCTTGCTTCTGACTGCCCGTTTTCCTCGTGTGGATAATTGAACTCTAGATGTCAGAATGCAACCTGAGGCTCACCCACTGAACCTGCAAGCAGAACAGCGGGAACTGATGAAATCAGCACCCTGTAACTATTAAGTGATGTTATTTGCCCAAAAGTATCATTTCTCACTTTTATTCCTCTTGTATTAGTCACAATGTGCAAG